TGTGTATTTATTGGGTACGCAACTACAAGTAAGGCATATAGATTCCTTGATCTTGATTCTAATGTTGCTATTGAATCTGTGGATGCTATATTTCATGAAGATAAATTTCCTTTTAAACTTAAGAGGGATGGAAGTCATGATTTTACAAAACAAAATGATTTCGAACCTAGTTCCTCAATTTCATCTCATTCTCAAAACCAAGAGGACATGGATTTTGAACCTAGGAGAAGTAAAAGAACACGTAAAGAAAGAGATTTTGGTTCAGATTATTATGTATATAATGTAGATGGAGAACCATTGTCTTTTCAAGAAGGTTTAACTTCTTCTGATTCTGATTTTTGAAAAGAAGCTATTAATGATGAAATGGATTCTTTGATTTCTAATAAAACTTGGAAGTTGGTAGATTTACCTCCTGGTTGTAAAACAATAGGATGTAAATGGGTTTTGAGGAAAAAACTTAAACCGAATGGAACCATAGATAAATATAAAGCAAGACTTGTTGCAAAAGGTTTCAAACAAAAAGAGGAACTAGACTTTTTTGATAATTTTTCACCTGTAACAAGAGTGACTTCCATTAGAGTGCTTATAGCTGTAGCCGCCATTCATAACATGCTCATCCATCAAATGGATGTTAAAACGGCATTCTTAAATGGAGACTTGAATGAAGAAATTTACATGGATCAACCTGAAGGTTTTGTTATGCCTGGCCAAGAGGACAAGGTATGTAAATTGACTAAATCTCTTTATGGTTTGAAACAAGCTCCAAAACAATGGCATGAGAAATTTGATAGTTGCTTGATTGAAAATGGTTTCAAATCAAGTGAAAGTGATAAATGCATATATTTTGGAATTTTCAATAATTGTCATGTTATTATATGTTTGTATGTTGATGATCTTTTGATTTTTGGTTCAAGCTTAGAGGTGATTAACACTACTAAGTTATTGTTGAATCAGCATTTTGACATGAAGGATTTGGGTGAGGCTAATGTAATTCTTGGCATGAAAATAACTAGGAATTATGATGGAATCTTTCTTGACCAATGTCATTATATAGAAAAAATTTTAAAGAAATATAACTATCATAATTCTAGACATGTTATGACGCCTTTATCACCTAGTATGCATTTGTATCCCACTTTACATGATAGAGATATTCTTAATCAAAAGGAATATGCTAGTATCATTGGTAGTTTACGGTATCTTACTGATTGCACTAGATCTGATATTTCTTATGCAGTTGGAATATTAGGGAGATTTACTAGCAAGCCTAATTCCTTTCATTGGGATTGTGTTAAACACTTAATGGGATATTTATGTGCTACCAAAAATTATGGTTTATTCTATCAAAAATACCCTGCTATAC